GGTGGGGCGGATCCATTGATAATTAAATGTATGCTAATTATCAATCATCTTTGACGATAGTGGTCCTGACAGAAATGTGTAGTTACATGGATAATCATACCACCATGACATATTCACAGCACAGTTCTCTCTTCTGTATCCATTTGGCTCTTCAGACCCCCAGAACCTGTTCAGTGCTGCTTTCTGTGTGATATCAAATTACATTTTTAGATAATAATCAGTTCAGTGATTTCTCACCCAGAGGTCAGTGTGCTGCCATCAACCCATTTCCATCTGTCCTCTTCATCACTGTCAGTTACACCAATCCAGACTGCGTCATTAGCAGAAATCTTCTTAAAATTCTGACAAGTTGAAAAAAGACACCACATTTATATTTACAGATAATAAGATGAATATATTTATATTCAAGTTTAACCTGACCTCTTTTCATATAGCACTAAACCACCTCATACAGCATGCCTCACTCACTTGTTCCTCTCTGTTGTTTATGATGATCAGATCTGCTCCTTTCTCCATACAACATCTTCTGCTCTCAGTCCAGCTCTTCTTCACTGAGGAAATGAAGTAGCATCTGGATTAGTAAAATTTCCATCCATCTGGTAATGCAATCGGATCAGTTATTAGCTCTTATTTCTATTTCACACTTATTTTTAGAAGTTGTATTGCAAAAAATGTTGTTTATCTTTCTAGCACTGAATATTCATGCAGTTTTTATGTAGTTTACAGTTACCCATTCCATTAAAACACTTTAACAGTTAATGTTTCTCTTGAATTAACTCTCCATTTAGTTGAATTAGATTGGTGATCTTAGTTAGTACCCAGACTCTTTCTTCTGTAAGGTTGGTAATCTCAGTTAGTTGCTGGTCTCTCTTTTCTGCCAGGTTAGTAATTTTGGTTAGTAGCTGGTTTCTCTTCTGAGAGGTTGGTATTCCTGGTTAATAGCTGGTGTGTCTCTTCTGGGTAGTTTGTGTTGTTTGTATGGATGTAGACACACAGCACTATGATCTGCACACAATCACTTCCTGAACAACACAGACATGATGTTAAATGACTAAACGTGCAAACTCAGATGTTTTCCTCCTTATTTATTCAGAGATGAATGTGATTAACTGTACGCTGCTGTGTGTTTGTCTCTTTCCTGAAGTCATGATCTTTCACACAATCTGCACTCTCATTGATATCCACTGTCATCTCCATTCTCTCTCTCTTTGTCCTGATCACATCGGCATAAATATCATCAGACATTTCTGCTCAATTACAGTCTTACATTAGCTGTGCTAATGTTGAATGATTTTCCTGTTTACTTTTCTGTGCTATTTTAGCTGTTCTTCTCCTGTCTACTTTCATCTCCAGTTAAAATGAAACAATAAAACAGAACTGATTTGAGAACAAAGTTTAAAGTCTAAACAAGAAAGTTCAAGAGAAATTTAGAGAAAGCCTAAAACTTTAAACTAGTTTTTAAAAGAGACAGACCTAAAGACTGTCAGATAAACTAAAAGACAGATAAACCATCTGACCAACAGCGTGGTTGTTAGGCAGTTCTAGCACCTTGCTAACTATTTCTAGAGTGTTATGTCTTCTACGTAGGTGCTGTAAGGGCTAGCTGCTTGCTAGGGTATTCTTACTGGTTTCTGAGATATTTTGACTGTAAGGCTGCGTGTCCACTAAAGTTTTTTTTTTTCTTTCTCTGAAGTCAAATGCAAAGCTACATATCATGTGACAGATAACAGAAAAGTTTAGCTGTTGTGCAGATCCAAGAACAGTTTTTAGGATTTAGTTATTGTTATTATTTATCTCTTTTCACCCTCTCTGAGCAACCAGTGTTGGGGAATTATAAAATCCCTCACAGATAAAATGGTTCATGATGGATAAACTGTCTATACTTAGTTATTCAGGTTCAACAGTTAACCCAATGTCGTACAACATAAACTTTATTTTTTATGAATATTCATTTTTAAATAAATATTTACAGTTTTTCTCAGTCGCTTTGGTGCATTTTCTACACTTTTCTATTAGACTTTTTGTAAATTTGCCATGAATTGTGCAAGTGAATCTTAACTTTCATTAATGAAGAGAATGCAGATCAGCTAATGATAAACTAATTCTCTGAAATAGCTCAAAGGTGCACCTCATGAACCTTCAATTGGAAAGCATGGACAGAGGGCAACACAAGAATTACAAATTCTGACAATGGATATTTCCTCCCCTTTGGCCTGGTAAATCAACAGTAGCTCTGTGGCTGATGACATTTCAACCACACCTTCTGCTTTTGGTTAGGTTGAAGCCAGCCTCATCCACATATACTGTATGAAGTTGTGAGATGGTTCACTTGACTCCAATTCCACGTAGCATTGCAAGGGAAGATATTCATTGTGATGCAGATGAGAATCTGTGGACAGACAGACTGGAATGTCAGGAGATGTAGACAGACTACACTGTGATTCCTCATACAGTGCTGCTTGCAAAAGCAAAGTTCTGCCTAAGGGGTGTTTTCTGTGTTTGCTTTTCTAATTTTAATTTTATTTTGTGCCCATATTTATTTTCTATCACATTGACGTTGGTAAGGTTTTTTTTTTATTTTTTTGTCAGACCACTAGTAAAGTGTAACTGTGAATCCTATCTAGTCTCTTTCAATCAATATCCCACATACAGTAATGTGTAAATTTGTACTTTTGAAATGGATATATGACATACATAAGAAGTGCAGCCTTCTGCATTTCAATACAGTAACTGTCTTCCATACTGTTGCCATAGTTTACATCAGGTAATACTAACAAAGTGCACTGTTATATTGACAACATGACTAAGCATTTTGACTATCTTGTTTGTGAACAATGACACAAGGACTTTTCATTCTGATGGCACTGATATGTTCATTGACATAAATACTTGCTTTTGAGAGACGAACTAAAGATTTTGAGTAAGTTACAGGCTTTTGCAGGTAATCCATTGTGTGGTGCTGTTTGTACAAATTTTTTGAGAAATGCACATACTTCTTTGCAAATATTAAGGATGATTCGAGAAATGCACCAAAGCGACTGAGAAAAACTGTAATGTATTATCTCTAGTAATATGAGGAGAAATGCACATACTTCTTTGCAAATATTAAGGATGATTCGAGAAATGATTCGAGAAATGCACCTATACTATATTTTAGAGAACTATATTTTAGCCTGGAGCAACATGACAAATGTGATACACGTGCTAGTAATGTAATCAGTACAAGGCTTTAATAATAAAAAATAATCGTTTCATTATAATGGATATAATAAACAGAACTGTTGTCAAAATGACAGACGAAAGTTCCTAGTATTTTTGGTATACATCTAAAACTAAAATAGGAATTCGTATTTAGAATAAAAATGTATTGCATATAATATAATCATTTCAATATTTTCTTCTCACAGATCCATTTAAAAGTTTCTGAACATGGATAATCATTCCACCGTGATTGTAAGTTAGAGCACAGTTCTCTCCTCTTTTTCCATTTGGCTCTTTATGACCCCAGAACCTGCAACAATAGATCAGCATTATATGTTCAGTGCTGCTTTCTGTGTGATATGATACTGACTGTGAGAATCATTTATTACATAATAATCAGTTGAGTTCAGTGATTTCTCACCCAGTGGTCAGTGTGCTGCCATCAACCCATTTCCAGCTGCCCTCCACATCACTGTCAGTCAGACCAATCCAGACTTTAGCACCATCAGACATTTTCCTAAACAAATTCTGACAAGTTGAAAAAAAGAAAACTTACATCAAAATAATTACAAGTTTGAACTGACCTCTTTTCATATAGCAATAAATTACCACACACAGGCACACACACTCATCTCTTACTCACTTGCTCCTCTCTGTTGTTTATGATGATCAGATCTGCTCCTCTCTCCATACAGTATCTTTTGCTTTCAGTCCAGCTCTTCTTCTCAGAGGAAATGTAGTAACAGCTGGATTGGTTACATTTCCATCCATCTATTAACACAACCAGACCAGCTATTACTACTAATTACTAATATAGCTATTCACACTAACTTCACATTTATTTTTGGAAGTTATATTACACAAATGTAGTTTATCTTTCTAACACTGTATATTCTACTGTAGTTCAGGATTACCTGTTCCACTGAAGCACTTTAACCATATTTACTGTAATTTTACTCTGCACCACACAGGATTGCAAGACAACCTTGCAGAGGTGGATGAGGGCCCCTTTTTACTCCGCAACAAGAGGAATATTCACGGGCAACAGCTCTGGTGGACATTCCTGCAGTCAGCATGCCAATTGCACACTCCCTCAAAACTTGCGACATCTGTGGCATTGTGCTGTGTGATAAAACTGCCTTTTGTGTACATAGAAAAAGTCTAAGATCTTTGAGTTCAGCTCATGACAAATGGGGACAAAAACAAAAGTGTTGCGTTTATAATTTTGTTCAGTGTATATATAACACCACAATACACACACAGACAATTTACATATTTTATGCAGACATTCCATAGGCGTAATAATTGTTATACTGTACAAATGGCATTTTACCTCTTCTCATATATCAATATACAGGTATTACCAGACACACACACACACACATCTCTCACTCACTTGTTCCTCTCTGTTGTTTATGATGATCAGATCTGCTCCTCTCTCTGTACAGTATCTTCTGCTCTCAGTCCAGCTCTTCTTCTCAAAGGAAATGTAGTACAAGCTAAATTTATAGTATAACCATTCATCTGTAAACACAAACAGTTCAAGTATTAGCTGTTTATCCATATTAACACAACATTAAAACAAATTACACAACCTATTTTTTTTTTACTGTTTTACCAATTTAATATATAGTTTCTCCTTCAAATATTAAATGTTTGTGTAGTATAGTTTGAATGTTGAATATTTGAATGTTTGTTTAGTGTATCTCATGATTACCCATTCCATTAAAACACTTCAACAGTTAATTTGTCACTTGATTTAACTGTTTGTTTAATTGAATATGGTTGCTGTTGTTAGGTAGCTGGTCTCTCTCATCGGTGAGGTTGGTAATGTTGGTCAACATCTGGTTTCTCTCTTCTGTGAGGTTGTTAATCTTGGTTAGTAGCTGATCTCTCTCTTGTGTGTAGTTTGTGTTGTTTGTATGGATGTGGACACACAGCACTATGACTGCAGTCAGCAGAAGAACACACAGCAGAACCAAACACACTACAGCTGCTCTGGAGCTTCTGCTCTTCACTGAATCACTTCCTGTTCACCACAGACATGATGTGAAGTGACTGAACATGTGCAAACCGCAACATTTTTGATCAAAGAAATGACTATGATTACCTGTACGCTGTAGTGGTTGGTGTGTGTTTGTCTCTGTCCTGAAGTCATGATCTCTCACACAATCAGCACTCTCATAGATAGCCACCATCATCTCCACTCTCTCAGACTCAGTTCTGATCACATCATTATAAATAGCATCAGACATTTCTGCTCTTTTAAAGGCCAGCAATATTAATTTGTGCTAATGCTAATCATTGTTCTCTTCACATTGACTGTTCTCTTCTTTCAGTTTTCATTCAGGTTTGGCATGAGGTGCTAAAACCTCACATCATTTTGTGGTCTCTTACTGGAAAGTGTAAAGACCGCCCATTTTTCTGTTCTCTATTTTTTGACCAACTCTATCTTCTCTTATTTTATTTCTGTGCTTTTGATTTCTTACTGCTGAGATACAGTGAAGAGAGGGCAGGAAATGATTGAAGAGAGAAGGGAGTGGGACAATGATTATTTTCCTACTGTCACATACTAAATACAGCTGTTTTGTTGCACATTTGTCATACATTTGCACGTCATTTCACTTGTTTGATTCTATTTTTAACACCTATATTAGAACAACAACATGAAACTGCCATGTGATGTCCAACTCTTTAGTGCAAAAAAAGGTTAGTCAATTGTCTGTTCTCGCTTCATCACTTCTCACAGGAACTTCAGAACATGCTTCTAAAGAGCTCTTAAATAATTGTTGAATGTTACATGCAGCTAAATGTAGCATCCGTTAACTGAAGGCACACTGTTTGCGTCTGCTGTGTTGACAGCTTCAATGTTAAAATGTTACATACACAAATAAAATAACAGTGTTTGCTCAGAACGAACCAAAATGAAAAACAGGTTCAAGGTTCAGTCTGTGGTGATTGAATCTACTGAAATATGATTAACATGGTTGATCATCCTAATGGCACTTGTATAGCAACATACAGTATACTAATACTAAATACTAACTATACTGTTTTTCCTGTGTCGTTCCTTGTCCATGTTAGTGGTTTGTTGATTCTATTTTAACATCAGTTAAAACAGCAACATGAAACTGATGTGAAGGCAAAGTGTGAGTCTCAAATAAAGTGACATTTGTGCCACTTTAACACTATGTAGAGAGCATGTATCTGGGTAGCTGACATATAACATGTTGACAAACCTATTTTAATCAACAAAGATATCAACTGTAAATAAAACATGAATGTATAAGATAAATTGTGTATTTCATGTTCTGTTGACCATTTATTAAATTTTTTTCACCATTTTTAATCACCATTATATTATTATTAGTGCTGTCAACTGATTTAGAAATATGATTAACATGGTTGATCATCCTAATGGCACTTGTATAGCAACATACAGTATACTAATACTAAATACTAACTATACTGTTTTTCCTGTGTCGTTCCTTGTCCATGTTAGTGGTTTGTTGATTCTATTTTAACATCAGTTAAAACAGCAACATGAAACTGATGTGAAGGCAAAGTGTGAGTCTCAAATAAAGTGACATTTGTGCCACTTTAACACTATGTAGAGAGCATGTATCTGGGTAGCTGACATATAACATGTTGACAAACCTATTTTAATCAACAAAGATATCAACTGTAAATAAAACATGAATGTATAAGATAAATTGTGTATTTAATGTTCTGTTGACCATTTATTAAATTTTTTTCACCATTTTTAATCACCATTATATTATTATTAGTGCTGTCAACTGATTTTAAAAAACTAATTCATTTTCTGTAATTAATCACAATTAATCTCCCCCCCTACATTTTTATTATATTTTTATATTGTAATAATTTCACATTGAATATCCAAAATAATGTAGAAACAACAAAGACATTGTTTAATGTCATCTTTTTACAAACTACTAAGGCCAGTATCACCAATATCAATAATGTTACTGATGCCTAAATTATTTTTCTCAGCTTCTGGGGTTCAAATGAGAATAGCCATTTAATATTACAGTATAACTGAAAATCAACACTTGATTTTCTTTTTAACACTTAATATGCTTTAAAAATGTCATCATGATCTATTATATATTTGACACCTTTAAATAATATATATATATATATATAGCTCAGTCTTCTTGTTAATGGCAGTTACAGGACTGAGAACAAGATAACAAATATAATGCATGTGTAAGTTAGTCACTTCAAAGCTTTATTAATAAAAATGGGCCTACATATATATATATATATATTGTTGCAAAAATGATAAATGACAACAGGATTCTGGTCTTTAAGTGATTCTGGATGTTTATGTTCAGAATAAATTTGTATGATATATATAATAAAATAATAATAAAAAAAATCTTCTCACAGATCCATTTAAAAACATAATTACATGGCAAGTCATTCCACGACGATGGATAAGTCACAACACAGTTCTCTTTACTATATCCATCGGGCTCTCCAGACACCCAGAACCTGAAACTATCAGCATTAAATGTTCAGTGCTGTTTTCTGTGTGATATGATACTGACTGTGAGAATAATTTATTAGATAATAATCAGTTCAATTCTGTGATTTCTCACACAGAAGTCAGTGTGCTGCCATCAACCCATTTCCATCTGCCCTGCACAGAAATGTCAGTCAGACCAATCCAGACTTCAGAAATGCCAGACTTTTTCATAATAAAATTCTGACAAGATAAAACAATAACACATTTGTATCATAACAGTTAAGATCTCTGTCTCTCTCTCTCTCTCTCTCTCTCTCACACACACACACACACACACATTTGATGGGTTTCAATTTTTTAATATTATTTATAAGCCGTTTTCCTCATGGGGACCAATAAATGTCTCCGTAAGATCAAACATTTTGTGTATTACTAGTTTTGTGAGGAACTTTTGTCTCCACAACATTGTGAATACCAGGCCCGAAACACACACACACGCACGCACGCACGCACTCACTCACTCACTCACTCACTCACTCACTCGTTCCTCTCTGTTGTTTATGATGATCAAATCTGCTCCTCTCTCTGTCCAATCTCTGATTGGTGGAATATATCTGTAATGTCCTTTAGTGCCAGATTTATGCCAACTTTATTTTGTGGATATGTGTTAATTATAAATGTGTCCAATAGTAATTTGATAGTTTGACTTTCTATTGCACTTTGATAGTTTTCTTTGCTGTTTTTTGTCCATTTGTAGCATTGATGTAACCTTAGTAAATGCGAGGGCTGGCTGCATATTTCATTGTTTTGAGTTCATTTTAGATAGAGTGTAATTTTGCAGTGGTCTGACAGAGATGTTTGAGGACTGACTGTGAATGCTCTGAGACAGAGCTGTAGCCTTTTCCCACTTTTGTTTGTGAAGTTGTCATAATTATTTCTGAGGTGATATAAGGGCAGAGAGTGGCGGGTGTTTGTAATATATTTGTCTCCTTGTGTGTTGACAAATCGGGTTCATTTCCAGTTCTGGCATTTAAGTTGCCACATATTAAATCATTTCCAATGGCAGATCTCGTCTTGCAGGATAGAAAAGTTTTCTTCATTGTAATTTCAAGATTCAGCCGGTGGTAAGTATGCGGCACACAATAATATCTGACGGTCTGTGGACGGTCTGATTTTTATAAATTTGATTGAGTCGATGAGTTCTGTTCTGTACCATACCAGCATTCTGTCCCAATATCAGCAGTCTCTGCCCTGTGTCACCCCTCTTAGTTTGGTTGATGGTAAAATGAATTCTCTAAACCCAATTGGGCAACCAGTGGACAAATCTCTTACATTCCATGTTTCTTGTATTATAATGTCAGAATTCAGTATTTCTCTTTTGAAATATTTCTCTTTTGGTGTTAAGAGTGTTGGCTCTTAACACTAAAAATGGAGGATCTAAGTCCTTGAATATTCCAACATGAGATTTTTAAGGAATATGATCCCATTAATCATTTTTGTTATTTCAAAAACAAGACAAACATCAGTATGCTGAATTGACAGAACAAGTAGAATATTTTAAATATTATGATTTATATCTAAGAATATCTTTTAAAATAAATGTATAAATAATAAATGTCTTATTCTTGT